TAAAAGTAATGTATAACATCTGTTTATAAATTCAGACAATTAAAATGCTTTTGAATATTTGTTAAGCTTATTAATCACAACTACTCTTGTTAGTTTTTCAAGATCCTTATGCATCCGTTTTTATTTCAATAGATATAAAGTGGCAAAATAAAGTATTTGTTAATAAAGTGAGATTGTGGGAGTACTGTTGTTATATTGAGATTGCAATCCTGTATGTGTTGCTTGAAAGTGAATGAAAATGTGTAGATTGTTACTGATGAGAGAAAAGCTTGCTGGTTTATCAAAGGGAACTTAAACATGTAAATGAAAGGGAGCATTTGCTCAGTAAACATTCCTGAGGAGTGAAAGGATTGTAATGAAAAGAGTGCACGTTCCTGTATTGTATCCCAATTTTTGTCACTTGAACTTTACCTGTATATTATCACTTTTTAAAAAAAGTGTTGCAGATCTTAAAGTTTATCCAATTACTGTGTCATTTCAGGCGTGCAAAGTTTGTTACTTGTGGAAAAACTTTCATTCTTGTCCAAATATTAAAATCCAACGTTCATGTTCATGACTCAATACAATTTTCATTATATTTAAGTCTCAAATAGTTAATATGTTGCCCTCCATTTACTGTTGGATTGTACTTACAGCTATCAAAACTAGGATATGCTGTAAAATGTATCATTTTAATGGAGAAAGACCAAGAAAATTCTATGGAAAGGGTGTCAAACATCTAGATAGAGAAGAGGAATCCCAGTTGCTGAGGCAGCCAGTGCAGAAACATGTCTGCATTGTACAGAGATACATTGGATAGCCACGTGGAACATCAAAGGAGTGAGTCAGTAAATTAGATGTTGTCAAATGTGAAATGATCAGATTGGAAATTGATCTCCTTGGTGTTAGTGAGCTACACTGGTCAGACATTGGCTTTTTCCAGTCTGAGTACTGTACTGTCATTCAGGACATGATATCAGGAAAACAAATGGAGAGGCATTGCAAGTAGAAGATTTGCTAGAGCAGTGAAAAGCATCTCAGCTGTCAGTAACAGAATTATGACCATCAGAATTTGTGCTGAGCCCCTCAACTTCACAGTTGTCCAAATCTATGTCCCAACCACTGCTGCAGCAGAGCTTGAAACGGCTTTTATGCCATGGTCTAGAAACTACGAAACAAGTGCCCCCAAAAGACATTGTTTATATCCTGGGTGACTTTAATGCAAAAATTGGCAAACAAATGGACACAGGCATCACTGGTTGTTTTGGACTAGGTGAAAGAATTGTCAAATTTGGGATCATGAATACATGGTTCAAACAGCACAATCGCCACTTAAGTACTTGGACCTCACCAAATGGACTTCACCATAATTCAAGTGCTGATTGCGGTTCAAATTAGCTGTCGATGGCAAAGATTAAAGTCAAATTATGCAGCATCAAAAAGGCAGTGCCTCCAAAGAAGTTTGATGTCTCCAAAATCTCTACTACGTATACAATTGAGGTGAAAAGTAGGTTTGATCTATTGGACACTGTTGAGAAGACACCTGATGAACTGTGGCAGGAAATTCAATCGACCATTATTGGAATTGCACAAGAACACATACCATACAAGAAGCCAGAGAAGAAGTGCAAGTGACTCCCAAATAAAACCATCAAGAGAAAGCAAAGAAAACCAACCAAGGCGGCAGGCAAATGGGATGAAATAAAAGACTAAATGCAAGTCAAAAAGATACGAGCACCATTTATTGCCCATAAAAGCATAATTAAAAACAAGCAAGGGAAAGAACTGTTGTACCAACAAGGCATCAAGAACAGATGGCAAAAATATACTGAAGAGCTATACACAGGTAGCAAAGAGGCCTTCACTCTGGACCATGAGGAAAGAGAAGTAGAAGTACAACCGGCCATCCTTGAGGAAGAGATCATAGGGTCTACCTATGGTTGTGAAACAACATTTTGGGCATTATTTAAAATCAGAATTGAAAATTTATTTCAAGTTGTGGTTTCCAGTTTTGATATGGAGGTAAACTAAAATAGAGAAGCCATCGAAATGAGCAAGATGTGGAATCAGGAGACCCTGAATTATGTTTGTAACAGTCAAACTGAATTTGGGAGATACGTTTGAAACAGATTCATGTTGTTATGCCTTTTAGCTTAGAGGTAAAGTTTTGAATGAGATTTGAAGCGTTGGTATGTTTGAAGCAATGCATATGAAGTTTTATACATGTTGATCTAAGATCTTTGAAATCAGATATTGTAGGGGTTTTTTGGAGAAATTACAAAGTATAATTCTTGTGTTTTCCATAGTTTTTATTTCCAAATGTATAGTAAACTATATAGGAGCTCAAGAGTTGGAACTGCAAGTCAGAGATAGAAGTAATTTTAATTTGAGACATATAGGAGATGATAAATATATTTGCAGTGATCAATGCAGAGGGAGATGGAAATAAAGGGGCCTTGTAGACCTATGGTGAACAGTAGCAGGAGGAAGCACTGTCTACAAAAGATACACTTGGAGAATTAATAGGTTCCGAAAGAGAAGTGATGATTCAATTAGATATAGAGGAAGAAAAAGGAAGTTTTCTAATAACTCATTAGACAGCTATTGTTGCAGAAATAGGTTGTTACTATTACTAAAGCAAGGCACCTTAGTTGGAAAAAAACAATTTGAGTATTTTGAACTGTGCCTAAGTACTATTAATAAGAAGGCTATTATATCATATTAAATCAGTGTTTATGGTCACTGATCATGCATGATGAATGTTCATGTTTGCTCAGCAGAATTGAAGGTTCTTTATATTAGCTGGATTTTAACAAGATAAAGATGACTGTTAGGTTTGAGCTTGGATCATGTTGATAGAGCAATTCAGCACTCTTTTCAAAGTATACAAAGGCACGAGGATTCTATGTTTATGCTCCTGACAATTTTGAATATACTTTTGTAAAATTCTTATTTAATATCCAGACTATTTTAACTCTTTTACAGGAAGGTCCTCAAAGAAAGAAGAGGAAATCTGAAGTTGTAGAAACAGCTGAACAGTTAGATCTTTTGGCTATTGGTACTGCTGTTGGCGGTATTTTATTATACAGCACAGTGAAAGGAGAACTACAGAGTAAACTAGTAAGTATGACATATAGCATTTTTCTGTTAAGAGGTATTTGACTTAAAGTTGTTAAAGTAAAGCTGAGGTGTGCAATATTCTTTCAGTCTGGAGATAGTGTGATTTTTTTTTAATCTGTCTGACGTTACAGAGTGATGGTAACACTAGCAAAGTGGTTGAAGCTACCTATTTCAGTTTTATAGTCCTCCCAATGTGCTAGGAGTATTACAATGTAAAAAAGATATTTAAAGATATTTTTCTGTCTGGAGTTAGGAGACGTAAGATGTAAAATTGGTGCTTTCAGAAATAAAGCATCTAAAGATGGTGACTTTGCCTCTTAAAACCTACCTATGTGGTAAAAATGGGCTAGTTTTGGAGGGCAATTTTAGGGGATTTAAAGATGGTTGTAAGTCGAGGACTACCTGTAAAGCATTTTGGCTACAACTGGTTTGATGAAAGTATCACGATACTTGCTGATAACTTTTCTTTTTACCTAGAATGGGCATGACAGTAAAATAAACTGCATACGGTGGCATCAGGACAATGGTTGTTTATATAGCTGTTCAGATGACAAACATATTGTGGAATGGAATGGGCAGACATGTAAAGTGAAGTGGTGAGTCTGGCCGAACATATAAGTGTCTCGGAATTTCTGTTTTGCTATCAGATCAGTTTAGCTTAGGTGGAATTGAGTAATGTAATGTAAAGAATGGGTAAGATGTTTTTTCATCTCCAAACATTAAAATGAATATTATTTGCTTATAAATAATATTAAAACTAAATTTACAAAAACAATCAGAAAATAACATTACGGACATTATTAAGAAACACTGTCTCAAACATATAGCAATCCCATTAAGAGACTGCCTCTCAGTCTAACCCAAGGCCTAGGTTTTAAGGGCTCATTTGAACAAGGCCAGGTTAGGGGTAGTACAAAATTTGGGGCGGGGGGATGCGGTTATAGAGGCAGGCATTGTGACAGAGAAAACCTGCTTCCTAAGTCCCATCAGGTGGTAAAGCTTAATTGAAAACCCTGAAGCATGCCAACTCGGTTGGATAAACGGGATCAGCGTATATTACAGGAGACAGGTACTGTAGTCCCTCAGAATTGTTGAAATAAACTAAATCAGGAAAGAAATAATTCATGATATTTTCCACCACCAAAGGAAATTCCTATATAGTTCCATTTTCAGAGAAATATCCATTCATTGTGATTAATCCCATATACATAGATGTTTCTGAATTAGTAAAACTTGATTGCTTTGTCATTTAAAGTGCTTGAATCCTAACTTAATTTTTATTCAGCAGCCCAATTCCTTTATTTAAATTTAGATGTTTTCATCCAATTAAACTAACAATTAACTAACAGCTAGCATTATAATAATATAATATAATATAATATAATATAATATAATATAATATAATATAATATAATATAATATAATATAATATAATATAATATAATATAATATAATATAATATAATATAATATAATAATATAATAATATAATATAATGATTATGCAAATATCATCTTGTGAGCTTCATGAATATATCTAATGCTTGACTTTTAAATCAAGGTGTAATAAATATTTGCTCATAGTTTACCTTGTAAGGGAAAACTACCTTAAAGTTGCAAGAGACGAAAGCCACATTGCAGATAACATCTTTTTGAGATGTAATGTAAAATCCAGGACTAAAACTTGAACCCATTGTTAGGTATATAAACCTCATCTATTTATGATCTTTACTTTTTGTAAACAGTAAAGGGAGGAAATTGTAAAGAAACTATTCTTCAAACTACTGGTTACATATGAGGAATAAAACAGTAAACAAAAAAATTGCATAAACAAACTGGCCTATTTCATTTATTAATTTCAAAAGTGCAGTCTTCAAGTACTTTCAATTAAAAAACAAATAACCTGCTGTGATGATATCCAATTGGTTTCATTCACTTCTGATACCTAGTGAGGATAACTTTCTCTTGGCTGTCTGAGCAGGCTGTCTTCAAGTCAACATTTAATAACTTGAGTACGAGTTAAAGGTTATCAAATAGCATGGTAAGTACACAGTTGGGAAAGTCCAGAATTACACACATTTTTCTTTAATTTCTCAAATGTTAAAATAAGAGTTGGTTGGACAGAATATCTTTTAAATGTAGTGAAAGTAGACATAATATTTTTCAAACCTCTCTGGTTTGAAACCTCTCTGGTCACTATAACACAAAGTGAATTAAAATGTTAAATAGGAATCTACTGTAGGTGTTAGGAATCCAATTAACAGACTTTGGTATTCCATGTATTTTCAGAAATGTCTTAAGGCCCTACAAAGTTCTCATTGAGAAGACTATCACCTTTAGTTAAATGGAGTGGGTGTTTGTAAGAGTAATTTTGTGAATAAGCATAATTTCTAAAACAGTGATATTGTGTACATGCTGCCAAAATTATAAATGTCCTTCTTATCGAAATGTCATGGAAAAGCAGCTTAACACGTACCTTCACTCTTTGGTTGATTTTTTCTGGCTGCTCAGAAGTTGCCAATTCAAGGAATATTTTGGGTTTAGATTCTAAATCAAAGTCTCAGTGATTTAAGACATTCAAGTGCTATTTTCCAACTTACAGATATATATTTATATATTATTTCTTTTAGCTTTGTTAAACAAGTCTTTATTACAGTAATTTTCAATTTATTTTTCTTAAATTCCTTAGTAAATGGAAAGGAGATAACAGCAGTGTGAGCTCATTGTGCATCAGTCCAGATGGAAAAGTACTACTTTCAGCAGGTCGAACTATCAAACTGTGGGACTTGGAGACCAAAGAAGTCTATAGAGTAAGTATTCAGAGACACAGTGAACCTAAATGATCTTAACTCCTTAATGAATTGCTTTATTTCATAATATTAGCATAGTTGGAGACTGCTGGTCAGTTTGCTGTGATGATACCTTTAAAATGTGGTTTCAGTTGGCTGACAGTTGAATGAGGACATGAAATTCCTTGGCTGTGTCTGAGCACTGCCCACAGCAGTACTTGACAACCTTAATCTGAGTTCCTGGAAATACTATTGCTGTATATATCACAGGAATGATACATGGCTTGGTGTTTGTTAATTATGAAAGAATTACTAATTCTTGAACCCACTACTTTGGAAAAGATAATTATTTTTACCATTACAGTATTTTATGTTAACTATGAATATACAGTAGTGGCCAAAATTGTGGAAACCTTTTGGGAAAAGTGTACATTTGAGGTTTGATGGTTAATAACACCACTTTTTTTGGAGTACCATAAAATTATATATCAAGAATGTAATGCAACAAAGTTTGTTCAATTATCTGTATTCTGTGAAATGTTATAGCCAAATAACCAGAAAAAGGAAACACAACTTGCTTAGGTTGATATCAGGTAGCTTTCCTTCATCTGATTGTAGCCAATGAGCATGAGTGTTTAGAGAGCCAATCAGGTGTCATCTTGTTTTGGCAATGAGCCAATCAGATCACAGTAGGATTCAGTTATTGATGTCATGTATTGAAGCTGAGAGGAGGACATTTGTCAGTGTGTTATGCGATCGCTATCAAGTTGGTTGGGTTTTTATATGTTCTTTCATTTAGTGAGCTTGTAAAACATAATGTAATGGTGCAAAGAGTTGACTGGTTGCCCAGAAAGCGATGTAAAATAGTATTATTAAGTGAACAAGTCTACAATTATAAAGAAATTAGAAGAAAAATTGGTGGAAACTTAACCAAAGGTGGCATTTCTAAGTTTTTGAAGAGGTATAAGGAGACTCAGTCACTACAAAACGACACTGGTAAAGGCAGGAAAAGATGCACAACAGCAAGTGATGATAGAAGAATTAAGAGACTGTGCCTATGTGACAGAAGAAAATCATCTGGGTATATACAAGATGAAATGGTGCAATGCAATGTGAAGTTGAGTGCAAGGACTGTTCGGCGCAGACTTTAGGAATTTGGCCTAAAATCTAGAATTCCATGAAAAAAGCCACTTTTATCTCTCAAACAAAGGTTGAAAAGACTAAACTGGGCTAAAACCTGTGTTACCTGGACAGAGGAACAATGGGACAGTGCTATTTGGAGTGATGAGACCAAGATCTCCCTGTTTCGTAGTGATGGCATAAAATATGTAAGGAGAAGAATCGGAGAAGATTTGCATCCTGATTGCATTACATGTACCGTGAAACACCCAGTCAGTATTATGATCTGGGGTTGTATGACATCAAAAGGTATGGGCAGAATTTGTGTCATTAATGGGAATATAAATGGCCAAAAATACATTAATGAAATACTTGAGCCCAAATTAAAGCCTTCCGCACATGATCTTTTCCAAGACAATGAAGTGTTTATATTTCAACAGGATTCAGCTCTATGTCATGTTGCTGCTGTGTGCAAAAAGTGGTTTCAAGATAATCATATTCCACTGCTGGAATGGCCTGGGAATAGCCCAGACCTTAACCCAGTTGAAAATCTATGGAGCCGACTAAAGAAACTTGTTAGTCAGAAGCAACCCGGCAATAAAACCCAGTTAATAGAAGCAATCATTCAATCTTGGTTGCACATTATAACAGCTGCAGAACTAAAGGACTTGGTTCACTCCATGGGAAGACGTTGTAAGGCCGTCATTCATGCTAAAGGTTACACAACTAAGTGTTAACTGATATGGTGATAATTTTTATATTATCATTTTTTCTATGGTGATAATTTTTGTATATCTTGTTTTTTTCTACGTGTTTCACTTTTCTTCTTTATAACTGATGTTCTAATAGCAAATCCTTCATAAAAGTTATTGCATTACATTCTTGATTAAATTATCTTTCCATTGATAGATAATTTTATGGTACTACTCCCCAAAAATGGTGTTATTAGCCATCAAACCTCAAATGTACACTTTTCCCAAAAGGTTTCCAAAATTTTGGCCACTACTGTAGTGCTCTCTGCATATACCATAGCATGGGGTACAAGTGTTTGCCAGTTTCTTGTTATTTTGAAACATTTGGTTGATTTTTAAACCCAAATCCTGTTTAATGTTATCTTCCATGGAAATCTGAAAGAATAATTGGTAGAATCAATTTATCACATTATTGAGTGATAAAGACTGGAAATCAGTGTTCGAAAGTCTTGTTGCAGCCCAGCAGAAGTAATTGCATTTTTTTGCGGTAGAAAATAAATTATCAATTTCACTCTTCATTTAGCTCAACAGAAAACTTAAATTCCTGGTTGTGATTATATTTAAAAAGAGTTCCCTTCCATCCATGCTACTTTTTATTCTGAAGCTAAATTCATTCCTTATATTCTTGTCAGGATATAGAATCTCAACTTTGGATTTTTCTATGCATTTTAAACACTATGTCTTCCTGATCAGTTTAAATGACATTTCTTCTTCAGCATTTCACAGGACATGCTACAGCAGTTTCAGTGCTTAAGTTCATCACAATGTGGCCTCCAGCTGAAAATCAACCGTTTGATGGAATTACAGGCCTCTATTTCTTATCTGGAGCAATGCATGACCGGTTACTCAGTGTGTGGTATGTATTTTTTTCAAACTCTTTAACAATCATTGTTTGATAATAATCTTTAGTCCCAAAGTAAGACATAAAAATATGATATAAATGAGGTTTGTGGATCACTGCAGTGCATACGTATAATATAAAATTAACCCACAGACTTGCATAACATTGTAGAAGAGAATTTCTCGGTTATTCTGCGAATATTCTGTAAAAATGCAGTGCCATGCAGTAACAATAGCAGATATATATTATTGCTTTAGCATAACAATACCTCATGGCAATCTAAAAAATATGGTGAAATAAAAACAGTTTACCAACCTGAAGGTCCTACCTCTTCAAACATGGTCCTTTCATCACAGCGCTTGTGATGTTGTTTCATTCGCGCCACCAGGCCTTGCATCTCTTTGTTGCATTGCTTGCATTTTGCACGCATACCTGTTTTACCCGTAGGTAGAGGAACTTCATTAAAATGTTCCCAAACTGGGTCTCTTTTACGGTCTATTGCCATTTTGCTCTTCAAGGGAGGAATAAAGCACTTCAAGCTATATGCAGAAAGATCACAAGGTTTATAAGCTGCTTAGAAGGTGTCACTTTCATTTTTACTGCTTGCCTTTCCTCCTCACACTTAGAGCCTGGTACAGATGCATTTCTCTTCAAACAATCATGCAGCTTGTATTGTACATAGATTTGCAAAACTAATGGGATAGGGGAATATTCCTGAACTTTGTTTTATGATTTACCTCATCATCATCATCATCACCATCATGGTTATTGTGAAATTGTGTGAATGCATCAATGCAGTGCATGTTATCTCAGCTTGCAGAGATTGGATTCATTAAATGAGTTTACCAAAAATGTAAATATTACAGAATATACAGCCTCATGCTTCATAACTAAGCTCCATTTCATGCTAAATGAACTAAATTATTAATGTATCTTAAATAGAAAACTATCTTTGGATAGATTTTTAGTCCAAAAGTATTTTAGTAAAATAAATTCAATAAAAAAAATCTGATTTAAATAAAAAAACCTGATTTTTTTAATTTTTTTTAAAAATCATCGATTATTATCCACCCTGATCAGTGCGCTTTTTGTGCAGTTGGTTGGACACTTTGGGAATAGTCTGCTGTACTAGATTGGCTCGAAGTCCAATCCAACAGGGCATTACTTACGTTCTTTTGCTCTCCAAAATAATTTTTTTGTTATGTATTTGCATTTTTTAAAACGTGTCCTACTTTCCTCAAGGCAGGTGAGATCAGGCAGGAAAGAAAAGAATGCTGTAATGAGTTTCACAGTAACAGATGAACCAATCCACATGGACTTGACAATATCAGAAAGCAAAGAACAGGTAAGAAATGTATCTTATTTTTTCAACATTGATCTTCTCTAGTGCAACAGTTGAAACCACTTTAGATAACTGGAAGGTAAATTAAAAGCTGGTAAAATGTTAAAAATCTGGTTTAATGGCAAAATTAAAATGAAT